GGAAACATCTTGTGATGTAGAAAATTAAATCGACAATTTTATCAGCAACTTTAGAATAGACATTGACAGATGATAGAAAAGATTATTGTGATTTTTAACTGGAAGCATAATTTTTAATATTTTTGCTCACTTAAGCAAATTACCACATAGGATATGGTTCCATACACAAATACAAAATAATAAAGAAGAAAAATAGAACTCAACCTACAATAAGGATGACTTAGCTGTTGAAATGATCAGATGTGCACACTAATTACTGTGGTGGTGACAGATCTGAAGAGGAATCACCAAATTCCACCTGCGGGCACATCATGTCGAGTATGTACGACAATAATAATTTCATGACAGTTGTGCCAAGGGAAATATCCCAAAATTCTTTGTACAAGTCAGAATAAGAACAGATATCATTGATTTATGGCTAACTAAAGGATTAATGTCAAAGAGCTTATTAAATTTTATTTTAAATTTTATTCTGCTTCTTCAAATCTACAAATAAGTCAGTTTCTCCAAAAGGTACCTATGTAGATAATGTATTATATATAAACAGAAAGAGAAGTAAATGGCAACCATACTTTGCTATGCTCAGACATAATTCTCTTCCTTCTTTTGGATACAAGGCTAGTATCTAAATTATTTCAGTTACGCAAGCATAAAATAATCACTAGTTTAGTTAATTAAATGTGTTCAAAAGGTACAATTTAATTGATTAGCATGAAGAAAAATATATGATTTTATATAGTGATAAAGGAAAGATCTATTTAATTAAAATTATAATTCTGTTACCATGATAAAATATTGCAATGACTTCTTTAACCAGGGACTGCAAATGACTAAGAAGAAAATATTATTGACAGCTTTTCAGTACTGAAAATTATATGGAAGGCTTCGAAAAAGTTACAAGATAGGGGGAGGTAAGAGGGTAGAAATATTACATTAGTCATTTTATTTAATTCCTAGACTTAGGAATTTCTATGCCTCTAATCATTTTTCTCCTGGGTAAGGTGTCTGGCATGTGTTTACTGGGAAGAACTTAGACTGGAGGTAGGTAGAAGTAAATGCACTTACCAGAGTTGTTATTTATAAGCTGTATAACTATCTACTAGGTCTTAGATTCCACATATATTAATACAAGAAAGAATGACTTCTGTTTAATTATAACATTAAGAAATTCTGAATGTTTCTAATTCAAGCCATTTTAATCTTCATATCCTATACTTACAAAATATACACAGATTAAAAATAAAGCAAACCAAATAACTAGTTGTAGCCTATAGGCAGGGCCAAAATATATACTAAATTTGATAAGTCTAGTGAGGTCGACGTTTTACTTTTCTGTTAACTGGCTATTACCCAAAAAGCTTCCTTTCCCTAGAAGAGTAATAACTAAGAACCTTGCCCTACTCTAGCTATGCACTTCTGCAGTCAAAGAAGCTTAAAACTGAACTAGGTCCACAAAATGAAAAAGTGAGCCTCAGTCAGCCTGACAGAGTTGCTTTTCTTGTATCTTCCTAACCTTGAGATGTAAATGACAGAGTAGATCAATGGAAGATGTAACCTCAAAACTAAAACTCAGATTATAGGTTAAGAGGATCACTTTAAAATTAGAAAGTACAAAGAAAAACATGTGTTGATATATAGAATAAGGCTCCTAAATATCCTAATGAAGCCAAAACTTACATCAAAAGAATACTTTAAATCCATATAGAACCTTTTAAAGCACTTTCTAGAAATTATCCAATTAGATTTCCTGACCATTTCTATGAAGCCTAAGATATTATTTGATATTTTCCAAAGGACAAAAAGAAACAAAGGAAGTAAAGTTACTCACTTTGCCAATAACATAGCTTCCTATTCTACCACTAGTTTTTTATTTTAAGATTTTTATTTACTTATTTTTAGAGAGGGGGGAAGGAAGAGAGAAACAGAGGGAAAGATACATCAATGGGAGAGGAAAACATCAATGGGTTGCCTCTCGTAAATGCCCCAACAAGGAACTGAACCCACAACCCAGGCATGTGACCTGACTGGGAATCAAATCTATGACCTTTTGCCTTGTGGGAGGACACCCAACGAGCCACACTGGTCAAGGCCACATCTAGTGTTTTAACTTGTGAAAAAAAGGTGATCAGCCCCATGAGAAATGATATTAACTGAAATGCCTCAGCCTTTTGTAAAAAGTTTGACTTCCCACAAGATGTCAGTGCAGAGACAGTCTTGCTTAGAATTTCACCTGATACTTAGTTCAGTATTTTCCACACTTCAGGCACTCAATATGTATTTGCTCAATGAATAAAAGCTATTCATGGTAACTAACAATTACTAGAGCTCATACATCAGGTGCTGCGCTAAGTGCATTACACATACACTTTCATTTAATCCTACCGACAACTCAAAGAGGTATTTTACTGATGAGGAAACTAAAGTCTAGATTAAGTAACTTGCCCAAATTTACAAAGGTAGCCCAGTTTTAGATCTTGTTTAAAGATCATTGATTAGGAAAAAACCAGCAGACTTGCAATAAGAAACTGTCTGTATATATTCTATTCCCTCTACCACCAGATGTTAAGAGACAAGGAAAATTACTTGCTGATATTTGTAACTCTTATAATGCCTATAGTATAGTACCTTAATCACATTATTGGTCATCAAATATTTCCTGAGTAAAATGTAAAATTGGGTAAACAAATTAGGCTTTATCATCCTCAAATGTAAAATGCAGATAAAGGTACCTCAGTGGTTCAAAAGTTTGGTCTGTGTGTATGGAAGCTTTGTCAGAAATGCAAATTCTTAGGACTCACCCAGCCAGACCTACTGAATCAAAAACTAGTGTTTTAACAGGTGTTCCAGGTGATTCTCATGCACACTTAAGTTAAAAAACAAAACAAAACACCCAGGTCTACGTTACTTATAAGATAATTACAAGGATTAGCTGAGGTCAACAATGTGCAGCAGGGTCAGGCCTGGCTAGTACTTGGATGGGAGACCACTTGGGATTACTGGGTGCTGTATGCTTTTTACCTAGAAGTAAATCTAACCAAAGATGTAAAAGATCTGTACTCGGAAAATTACAAGACACTGAGAAAGATACAAATAAGTAGAAGCATATTCCGTGTTCATGGACAGGAAGAATTAACATCATTAAATGGCCATTATGACACAAAGCAATCTATAGATTCAATGTAATTCCTATCAAGATTCCAATGACATATTTCACAGAACTAGAACAAGTATTTCAAAAATTTATCTGAAACTATAAAAGGCCTCACATAGCAACAGCAATCCTGAGAAAGAAGAACAAACTTGTAGGAATCACACTAACTAATATCAAACTACATTATAAGACCATAGTAATCAAAATAGCATGGTACTCACATAATAACAGAAACGGAAGAGAATAGAGAGCCCAGGAATAAACCCATACTCTTATAGTCAATATTCCACACAGGGAACAAGCATATACAATGGACTAAAGATAGTTTATTCAAGAAATGGTGTTGGGAAAATTGGACAGATATGTGCAGAAAAGTGAAACTAGACCAGCTTCTCACACCACACATAAGAATAAATTCAAAATGGATTAAAGACTTAAATGTTAGACTGGAAACAATGAAAATCCTAGAAGAAACATAGGCAGCAAAATCTCAGACATAACTCATAGCAATAGTTTATCAGATAGATCTCTCCAGGCAAGGGAAACAAAGGAAAAAATAAATAAATGGGACTACATCAAACTAAAAAGTTTTTGCACAGCAAAGGAAAACATCAACAAAACAAGAAGGTACCCACAGAATGGGAGAACATATTTGTCGATACATCTGATAAGGGGTTATATCCAAAATTTATAAAGTACTTACAAAACTCAACACCAAAATAACAAGCAACCCAATTAAAAAATGGGCATAGGACCTGAATAGACACTTCTGCAAAGAGGACATAAAGATGACCGATAGACATAAGAAAAGATGTTCAACATCACTAATCATCAGAGAAATGTAAAAACCACAATGAGAAACCCTCTCACACCTGTCAGAATGGCTATCACCAATAAATCAATAAACAACAAGTGCTAGTGAGGATGTAGAGAAAGAGGAACCCTTTTGCACTGTTGGTGGGAATGCAGACTAATGCAGCCACTGTGGAAAGCCATATGCAGATAATTGAAAAAAATTAAAGATGGATCCTCCTTTTGACTCAGGGACCCCAGTTCTGGGAAGATACCTGAAGGAAACCAAAATGATAACTTGAAAGAACATTAAGCACCCCTATGCTCACTGCAACCTATTTACAATCACCAAGATATGGAAGCAGCTCAAGTGTCCATCAGGAGATGAGTGGATAAAACAACTATGGGACATTTACACAATGGACTACTACTCAGCCATAAAAAAGAGAAGAAAGTTTTACCTTTTGTGACAGTATGGGTGGAGTTATACTAAGTGAAATAAGCCAGTCAGAGAAAGACAAATACCATATGATTTCACTCACAGGCGAATCTAATGAATGAACACAAGCAAAATAGAAATGGACTCAACAGACAGAGGATGACAGCTAAGGGCGGGGGGCAGGGAGTGGAGGGATTGTGCGAAAAGGAAAAATGACTCATGGACATGTACAACAGTGTGGTGACTGCAGGGGTGAAGGGGATATAAGGGGACTACATGTAATGGAAACATGATATAAAAATCATTTAAAAAGTTACATGGAAGCACTCTAAAAAGTGAAAGGTATATCACCACCATCATCATTAAAAGAGTAAATTTCACTCCTTTGAAAGAGCTTAGTGATTTTCTAAATCCAGATGAAAATAAACATCAGAAATGAAATAGATCATGAGACACTTTTTAAAGAATATATTATTCTAGATAACTGGATGATGTACAGCATTCATGGATCCAAAGAAAAAGATGATTATGAGCCATAAAGTTGTACAAAGAAATCTGATAATCTGGTTATGTGGCAGTTCAAGCCAGAGAACCTGACAAGTTGCACAGACTTCTTACCTGACCAGTGTCCAGCGGAGATGCCAGATCTGTCTGTGCAGGTCTCACTTACAGGTCTGAACACAGTTTCCCATCCACCAGTAGCATAGCGCCAGTTCTGAGATTCTAAGATCAGTGTTCGCTGGGTGCCATATGCAATCATGAAGCAGTAGACCACGTGATGGAGTTGACAGCCATAGCCACAGCCTTTGTTGATATTACACACCAGCTTCTTGGCTTTGCTACAGTCCTTGGGATTCTGTCAAGGAGGAAGATAAACAAAGGTGAAGATAAGCTGTACTGAGCAACTTCTCTTCACAGGTGATAAGTGCATAAATCATGTAAGACAGGACCAACCCAGTCAGTATATTTTATAAGGCAAAGAATCCAGCTTTAAAAATAGAATTTCAAAGAAATTCTATGAGCATATTTAGGGAGACAGCAGTAGAAAAGAACAGTTACTTTGGAAACATCACTAAACAAATGTGAAATTAAGCAGTTACATTGAAAAGAATACTCTTTTCACTTCTCCATCATGCAGAACATGCGAGTGTGATCATCTCTGAACTCAAAGCTGCATATGTTGAGATTTTTAAAAAGGAGGTAAAAAAAAGTTCATTTATTTCAGCTTCAATTCAGCATTCTGAGTGTACCTTCCCTGATGAAACTCAAATCGTCTTAAAGGAAAAATTATAATACACCTTTTAACTCCACCTATCTCCCGAGTTCTAGATGTCACAAACAAAATCAGTATGGAAGTAAAGCCACTGAGTAAAAAGATATCTGAATTCAACAATTTCAAAATATCAGTAAGGGGACTTAATAAAAACCAATTTTGATAGCTACAAGTAATTTTCACAATGAAATGTAGAAAGCATTGTATACTAACTGTCTTGAGAATGTAATAAGCCACTTTTGAGTCAGAAGGTTTATTTTCCTATATGCATATTTGTTATTTGTAGCTGATCTACTCATCAGCTTCTGTGAACAGAAAGTGATTAAAACACTTAATATTATCTAATAATGGGTGCAATGGGCTCAGCTAATGTGAGGATTTTTTGTCCATTCTAATATCAATTTTGCTGTTATTCATATGAGCTGTTGGTAAATATCCCCAGGCATCTTAGTTCTTCAAATAAAAATCTGTTTTGACAAGGACTCCTTAGCCTGAGAGGTTTTTCAAGCTGTTTTGTCTGAAAGGGAAGAGAAAGAATGGGTGCCTTGAGGAACAGAATCTTCTCTCCCAGAAAGCAAGAAGCCAAGTAACTAGTTCTCAATTTATATGAGCCTTGAATAAAGCAATTGCCAAATCACAAACCTCCCACTATTTTCTAAGGATATTACCTATTCTGTCAAGTAAAGATCCCTAGGAACAAAAGTTAGGACAGTGAGGCCATAAAATGTCTCTTAAGGAAAAGCGGAGAAGGGAAAATGCAATAGTTTTCTTTCAGAAGAGGTTATCTTTCACATTCCAACACTGCAGCCTGGCCTTTTTAATCAAAGCAGAACCTATACCAGTGATTTTCAACCTTTTGCATCTAATGGCATATATAAACTAATTACTAAAATTTTGCAGCACACAAAAAATATATTTTTGGCTGATCTGACAAAAAATATGTATAATTTTTATTCATTCACACCAGACAGCTATTGTTATGTTGGCTGTTGTCTTCTTTTTTTTTTTTTTTGACATTGTAAGGGAAAAGAGGCCAGTTCCCCTGACTAAATAGTCAGGTATTGCATGTTTTAAAAATTCTTGCAGCAAACCTGTTGAGAATTGCTGACCTATACCATCAAGAGCCTTCTGAAGAGTCAGAGTTCTATGACTCCAAGACAGCCCAGATAAAATTCAGCAAGAATTGGTCAATACTACTCCTATAGTCAAGTGGTAGATTTGCTGATTCTTTTCTCCTAAGACCCTAACTCACAGCAGACACCTATAGCAATAAGAATTCCCATTCCAACTGTTACAGCCACAAAATATTTGAGATGGACAGGGGAGTGTGATATTATGCTCACAGGGAGACCAATATCATTTACTTTCTGTAGAACATTATACAAGCACCCTGGGAATAAACATCCTTCTGAAACTAATCCAATGCTTTATTTTTAGCTCAAGTTAATAATAACTCAAAAAGAAAACAAATAGATATTATAGAATGAATGGTACACCTGAAACCTATATGATTTTATTAGCCAATGTCAGCCCAATAAATTCAATTTAAAAAGAAAGCTAATAAAGAACACTGTCATTTGTCAAATTTTTCATGTTTTGTGTAAGAAATACAACACATGAATATTTTTAAAACTCATATAAATGACAAAGAAAATGTCCTTCATATAGTTTTCAATAAACTTTTTTCTTTTAGAACAGTTCATAGATGTACAAAACTATTGCAAGGATAGTACAGAGGTCCCATATACCTCACACCGAGTTTCCCCTATTATATCTCACATTAGTATTCATGTTTTTAAGGGAAAAAAAGAGTGAGGGAATATTATCATAAAAACACCTAACCCTAAGTTTTAAAACTATAGATTTATTTAAAGAAGACTCACTTTGGCATTTAAGAAAAGCATATATACTGTGTTTCGTAAGAGAAGAGTTAAACCACAGCCATTCTTTGTTACTTTGGCACTGCTAGGATTTAGAGGTTTCCACTGCCTTCACTTAATAAATTAACAGGAATTGTGAGTTAATGATGTAATATTACAAAAGAGTACCGATTCCACAAGTTTCACATCAAATCATAAGATAAAGCCTTTTGCCATGACTATTTATATTTTCTATACACACAAATAAAAGCCTCTTCAAAGGAAAGTTTTCCAGCCACAATGTAATTTCCCTCACTTCTCTGCCCAGTAACTACGGACCAAAACATGGCACAAAAAAGGCTAAATAAAAGCAAAACAAAACAAAAACCCATGCAGTCAAATAAGCCAAACATAGTATCTCCATGCATCTTCTGCAAAGAGTAAATGTTTAGTAAACCATCGTTAGTTCAACTGAATTTCATGTACAGAGACAAAAGCGATGCCATTTTTTGGTGGGGATAACACTAAAACTCTTGGCCAATTTCAAGCACACAATACAGTGTTATTAATTACTGCCACCATGCTATACATTAAACCTTTAGACCTTACCCTACATAACTGAGCCTTTGTTCCCTTTGACCAATATCTCCCATTTCCTCTACCTCGCTTTCTCTGGTAACTTCTGTTTGACTCTGTCTTTATGAATTTGACTCATCTAGATGGCACACGTAAGTGAGATCATGCAGCATTTGTCTTTTGTCTTATTTCATTTAGCATAATGTCTTCCAGGTTCATTTGTGTGGTCACAAATAGCAAGATTTTCTTCAATTTTTATGGCTGAATAACATCCCATCACACACACACATCTTCTTTAACCATTCATCCTTTGATAGCATGTACATAGGTTGTTTCCATTATCTTGGCAATAGTAAATAATGTGGCAATGAACAAGGGGATAGAGATAGCTTTTTGAGACAGTGATTTCATTCCCTTTGGATATATATACTCAGTAGTGGGACTGCTGTATAATATGGTAGTGCTATTTTTAAAATATTTTTATTTATTTATTTTTAGAGAGAGGGGAAGGGAAGGAGAAAGAATGAGAGAGAAACATCAGTGTGCGGTTGCCTCTCATGTGTCCTCTACTGGGGACCTGGCCTGCAACCCAGGCATGTGCCCTGACTGGGAATCCAACCAGCAACCCTTTGCTTCACAGGCCAGTGCTCAATCCACCAGGCTACACCAACCAGGGCGGTAGTGCTATTTTTTAAAGGAACTTCTATACTGTTTTCCATAACAACTGTACCAACTTAAGTCCCGCCAACAGTGCCTGAGGGTTCCCTTTTCTCCACATCCTCAACACTTATTTTTTGTCTTTTTGATAACAGCCTTTCTAACAGGTGATATCTCATTGTGGTTTTGATTTGCATTTCACTGATCCTTAATGATCTGTTGACCATTCATGTCTTCTTTAAGAGATACCAATTAAGGTCCTAAATCCATAGTGGGTATTGTGTTTTTTGTTTGATGGTTTTTTGCTATTAAGTTCCTTATATATTCTGGATGTTAATCCTTTATCAGATATATGATTTGCAAATATTTTCACATTCCACAGATTGCCTTCTCATTTTGTTCATTGTTTCATCTGCTGTGCAAGGCTTTTCAGTTTGATACAGTCCCATTTGTTGATTTTTATTTTGGTTGCTTGTGTTTTTGGTGTCGTATCTGAAAGAAATCACTACCAAGACCAAGGTCAAGGAGCTTTTTCCCTCTGTGCTCTTCTAGCCTTTCTATTGTTGAAGAACTTACACTTAAGGACTAAAAGTCCAAATTCTGGGTATCTTTCCAGCTCCTCTCTAACAACATTCCTTCTCTAGGGAAGCGTTAAACCACAGACAGCTCCTATTTACAATAAAGAAAAGTCAGTAAAAACCAAAGGAATGAGCCAGCTAGGTTAAGTTAAATTTTATTGTGCTCTTTATATGTTCTAATCATAACACTAAACAATTTCTAATTTGTTTGTTTCAAAAAAGTTGCAACATATAGCTTTGCGTTGGTAATGAAGGAAAGATTCACTAACAACACGGTGAAAGAATTTCATCATATTGGAAACAGTCTGATTTTTATTTCTCTAAAATTATTTTTGAAACCAAAGCAAATAAGAGAACTGAAATACTGTATAGTGGTAATTAAAATGAAAACTCTGGGCATAGTTAATAATCATGAAAGAGAAAGCTAAAAAGCATTCTCATTTTTAAAAGCCAAGACTGAAAATTATTGTCTCTAAACATAATAAACAAGAATATTTGCACAGCAAAGTTAAGATAGTATTGAGGTGTCCTTTCCACAACAGTCGTTTGCAACTAGTAAGGACAACATGATAGCTGAGGCACAAGTAGGCTACCAAGTGCTTCAGAAAATCAATTTCCTTGTGTGTAGTTTATAAAACTTTATGCGTAAAAACTTAATGGAGAAAAGATTTCAAGATACATAGTTTACAGACTGTTATCCTGATAGACTGAAGCAAAGGCAGACAATTACTATACAGATATAGAGGAGGAAAGCTTATCTTAGTAAGTACAGCAACAATTGGCCTGCTTTAAATGCATTCTCAAGACTTTTGCTCTTTGCTGAGAACTCTCTATTGAACATTTTAAAGGCATTTCTAAAAAGATGAAAATTTTACAAATTCAGTAGAATGCAACAAATAAATGTGGTACATTT